TTTTGAAATAACAGCCATTATTTCAAAATAACTTTACTAGTGTCTACACAGCCAAACCACTATTTCGAAATTAATTTGAAACAGCGGAGCACTTATTTTGAATTTGGTAAACCTCATTCTACGAAGAATAATGCCAAATTCGAAATAGGTATTTCGAAATAAGTGCTGTGTAGACACTTATATCGAAATAGGGGGCCTCCAGCCTTCCCAGGGTGCCCTGGTGGCCTCTCTAGCCTCAACCAAGAACACTCCTCTCCTTCCCCCTGCCCCAGAGCCCTTATAGGGGCATACTCTGGCCACAGTGCCTGTGCCAGCTCCAAGCCTGCCAGCCCAGAGCCAGCAGTCACTACCCCTGACCCAGTGGCCCCAAAACATGAGCCAGAAAGTCACTGGCAGCCAGCCCTCCAACGCTTCCCAGGACCAGTCTGCCAGCTCCCAGGAGCCTGTCAGGGCCCGGAGAAGGCGGGCGCCTTCCTGGTCTAGGGTGGAGATCATGGACCTTATTCAGGTTTGGGGGGATGCCCCAAGTCCATGAGCTCTGCACTAGATGGAGGAACACGGCTGTCTAAGGCAGGATAGCTGCCAGCCTGGCCACGAAAGGCCACATGCGAACCCAGGAGCAGATTTGCATGAAAATCAAGTTGGCTGGAGAGACCCCCAACCCTGAGCTTCCCCTCCCTCTTCTTCCCCTTGCTTCCCCCTTCCAGCTCCCTCCTCCCAGGTTTCCCTCTTCCCTCTCACCAGAGTTTCATTCCCTCCCCCCCCCCCCGTTTTGTTAAATAAAGAGAGTTTGTGTTCATGAAATATGTGTATTTTATTTGACATCAGGAAGGGGGGTTAGGGAGGGGTTAGTGGAAGGACATGAGGGAGGAATGAGGCACAAGCCCCCAGTGGGGCAGATCAGGGAGGCTCTTAGTGCTCCTCAGGGTGGAAGCTCTCCCGCAGGGCCTCCTGGATACTGACAGCCACTCCCCCCCAATGGACCTCCCAGATGGCAGCCTGCAGAAAGTGCAGCCAGGCTTGCAGCAACACGTCCACGAGAAGCACCTGAGTGCCCAGGGGCAGCTCTGGCTCCATGTTGCCAAGTGCTGTGGTGTCCCGAGTGAGGGCACCCAGAGCACACAGAGACAAAATGCTTTGCTGTCCCTCATGGAAGTAGGCAGGCAAGCAGGGAAACCAGAGAACCGGCTGCCTGGGGGGGGGGTCCCTTTAAGCACAGGCCTCAGATAGCCTCAGGCAGCAGCCACACAAAGTAACTCCTGACCTGATGCCCTGCCAGACCTGGTCCCGCCCGGCCTTAAATGCGATTCAGTATCCACTCAGTGTGGACATGCTATTTCAAAATAGCAGAACACTATTTTGAAATGCATTTTGTGTGTAGATATTTATAAGATATTTTGAAGTAACGCTGTAGTGTAGACATACCCTCAGAGGAGTTGGCAGACTTTAAAGAGATGCTCTCTGTGAACGATTGGTTTGATGAGAAAGCATCAGAGCACCTAGCCGTGTTTTTGGATAGTATTGCCAAAACTTTCTACCAGCAGCTTCCCACTGCATGTTGTGGATTACACAGACAATTATGCAAACAGTGGAATAACGAGGAGGGAAGATTGGTGCTTTGGAAATACCAGAAGGAATGGCAAGCCTGGAGGCAGCAGGAAGGGGAACTCTGGCATAGCTATTGGTGAGTTTGATAGGATGTCCCCTGTGCCACCCAGGCAGGAGATGACTTAAGTGAAGCACAACTCCCTGTTTCAGAACTACACCTGCCAATGCAGAGAGGGGATGGGGCCCAGTGGCAAGCAATGAGAGAATCTTGTACAAAAAATCAGTGTATACATTTGTTTATCAGCAGGGTCTTACAGTCTGTTGGTGAAGGAGGATTTCAGACTGGCTAAACCTATGGACCAGAATGTTTATATGCAGAGTTTAATGTGTGGAAACAGAAATGGGAGTTTCCTTAAAAGTATCAGGCCTTAATTCTCTCCTCCAGTGTGACTCCTTTGTACTGGATGCAGCACTTGAAGAAATGATTACTAATGAATTAGCTAAAAAATAAGAGGAGACCAAGGAAAAAGCTATTCACAGATTATTTCTTGACCAGATTCCAGGCCAGCTGATATTTGCAGATAATGCAGAGGCAAAGGCCATTGGAAACAAAATTGCCCAAGCAGAGGGAAACACCATCAGGGAAACTAGAAGTTTCTGTCACAGTAAGGCTACCATCAACTATTGGGATGGCCCATGTGACGAATGGTACAGATACCTTGTGTGCCTGGCTACATCAATGGTTGAAAAACCACTTGCTGTTAGACTCAAGTTCTGATGCCTGGAGAACACTTCATGATGAGAAGAGGAAGAAAATTTGTCCTACAGAAGTTATCTTGGTGAATATTAATTAGCCTCTGCAGGTAACAGGAGGAATCCAGTGCCCGTCAAACTTGGGGTCTGAGCAAACTAAGAGCAATTGTCTGGACAGAGATACACCAAAAAGCTTTTGAATCAGCCATGGGAGGACTTCTAAATTATGCTGTGCTTAAATTCCCAGACCTTTCCTGTCCATTTTTGGTAACCCATGACCGTTGTTGAATTTACACAAATGATTTTATGAGCTCAGTAGCACTGACGGATGGTGGCTTTTGGGGTCACAAATTTTTAAAAAAAGAGGAAAATCAAGTATTTGGATACAGAAGTGGACTGTTTGGCTGTAGTGGATATCCTCAGTGACCCTTGTCTATATTTACTAGGTACAGAATTCAGCGCAAACACAGACGTGTCCTGCAGTGGCTTCTTAAGAAGCGCAAACCTGAAACACGCCTTTGAAGATAGAGTTACAAAGTGTCTCAATACACATTTGGACCCTAAGCCTGATCCCAGACCTTTATGATCTCCAAGATGCTGATGAGGTCATCCTTGTAGGCTTCAAGCCACGTCCAAATGGTCTCAGCAATCTGGATGTTCTTTGATGAACATGTTTTGCTGCCTCCTGCATGAAGGCTATGTCTCTTATGGATATAAACATGTTTTTAAATGGAGAGAAAATTCAGGATTCATCATACCTGTCTACTACCCGTATGCTGTATGGTCAGAAATCTGGACTGTCTTACAGGCTTACTTGGAATTTCTAGCTGCATTACTTTTATGCTGTCAGTGGCCTAATTTTAAGCATAAAGTAGTTTGCCTTTGTGCAAAACGTTACTTGTGGATCTGACTATTTTTCCAGTCAGTCAGTCATATTCAACAGCAGTGTTTCATGCTCTGCAGTAATGTCACCAGGATAGACAAACACACACCATGTTCACAAACTCTTCATCCATGCATAAAGGAGCACACACCCTGCGCTACATGGCACTGCCTCCACCTCAGAGATTCACATCTAAAGTTTTGGACAGAGTGTTTTTTGTTGGCTTTTTTTTTTTTTCTTTTTTTTGATCTGGGAAAGTCTGTAAATGTTAGGGAATGGTGGGTACTTTCCTGCCTTGCTTGGAATGAAAGGCAAGCATCATCTAGAACATAATTGCAAGATCTGCATGTCGCAGTTGGACTACCACACATTAGAGTGCTCTAGAAATCACACATAACTCTAGTTCACACAAGGGTTCACACAAGGGTACTATATGGACAAGCCCTTAGTGTGTGGCAGGCTAGTGCCGGGCAGCTTTACACCCCAGTTTGCTGTGAACTAGGTGTTCATGTCACTAAGTCGGGACCTCTTTTGTCATTGTTGCATAGAACAGTGGTTCCCAACCTTTTTTATACCACAGTCCGGCAAACCCATTCACAAACTTTTGGCGAACGGGTATGGTTTTAATTGCATATTCATTATGTAAATTGTGAACATGCAAATATGAAAATAAAATGTTACTGGTCCACACAAGCCCTGATCCCCAGAGCCACCATGAACAGCCAGCTTCAGTCCTGGCAGACACCACGTGGCGGGTGGCTGCCACAGCTGAAGCCAGTTGTTCACAGCGGCTCTGGAGGCTGGGGCTGGGGTACAGCCCAGCTCCCTAAGCCCCCAGGGCTAGCCCTAACCCCTAGAGCCTCCCACCCCTCCACTACCCTCCAGTGCCAGCCACTGATCCCAGAGTCCCCTGCACCCAACCCCCCCCATGCCAACCTTCCACCCTCAGAACCCCCCAGTGCCAGTCCCCTATCCCAAATGCCTGTGTCAGCCCTTCGCTCCTTAGAGCCCTCCACCACCAGACCCCCTGTGCCATCTCCCAGAGCCATCCTATTTCCAGAGCCCCACTGCACCCAACCCCCCCCGAATCCTCCCAATACCAGCCTCCATTCCTCAATATTAGCCCCACCCCAGAACCCCCCAGTGCCAGCTCTGCCCCCGTAACTCCCCACTACTAGCCCTGACCCCAGAGCCAGTTCTCCATCCTGAATGCCCCAATGCCCCCACAGTGTCAGCCCCCCACCTCTTAGAGCCTCCCACCCCTTGGATTGCCTACTTAGTAATAAAGGCACACATGTAATATACTAACTGGTCTGTCATTTCAATGGTTCACACTGTTGGGTAGACAGAAGTTCACTTTGAAAGAGGAGCAGAGGTGGAGCAAGGGGAGTTGGGGTCTCCATAAGGTAGGGGAGCTGATTCCAGTCTAATAAGGGGGGGGGGCAGCAGTTCCTATTGGTTGCTTGGCCAATCTTGGGTCCTGCCTCAGCCCAAGTTGCCTCCATCCTTCCACATGGACAAGTTTCTGCATAAATTCTCCCTATTTGTCCCATCCTGCATTTCTTGTGAATCCACAACCCAAGGAAACGATTTCATTATGATTTCTCATTTTCCTAAAGCCCCAGACTTCTGGAGTTATGAATTTCAGGTTTGGGGTTTTTTTTAATAAAAAAAATAGGTTTTACTCATAATGGTTGTGGAAAAGTTTGAAAACATAAGCCCTACAGAATAAAAAAAAAATCAAAAGAAACCTAAATTTACTATTTAATAGCTCATTATTTTAAACCCAACTGATTGATTTTAGGGGCCGGACTCTTGATTTTGAATGTTCCAGTTTCTCAGTATTAAGAAGATATGGTACATAAAGACTCAGTTCCTCAAAAGGCAAGTTCCATTCCGTACTATAAGAGCTTAATTTGCAACAGAGAGAACACAGCAAGATTTAGAGAAAAGAATCCAAGAACCATATTAGTATATATAATATCGTTCAGCACCATGTTGTTTGATTACTTTGCCTTTATAATCAATACCTCATTAAAACAATAAGGTAAATAAAACGTAACATGTTAGAGATCTCACTAGCTTTTATACACAAGTTTATGCTCCATAAGATGAAGAAAATTCACAAAATTAGGTAGGACTGCATAGAGTGAGTAACTTGTGTATATACTCCTCCTTTAACTGCCTCTTTGTTCAGGCGCGCGCGCGCGCGCACACACACACACACAGAAATCAGAGGTAAATACAATATATATCTCATTAAATTCAATGTTTGTAAAGAATGCACCAGAATGGCATAAATATATGGTCTAAATCAATAAAGTGACAATGTAGGTGTTGAAAACAGTTTGCCTATTAAATACCATCTGTGTGTTTTCTTTAAATGAATATGTTTTTAATGTTTCACAGAAGTAGGCGTAACATATAGTAAATGGCAAATGTTGCAGCGCTGTAAAATGTAACAACACATCCAGTGTGTGTATCAGTAACAAACAGATTAAAAACCCACTTAAATAGTATAGACATATATGTGTTTTAGCCACATAACACTATTTGGAAAACAGACATTAAATGTTTATACATCAAACTTCCAAGCAGATTTTTCTCTGACTTACAGTATCAGCTATGTTCTTTCACACAGTACCTACACATTCATCTCTGAAGTATAAATAAAGAGAAGTATGCTAAAATGTCAAGGGCCAAGGACTGACAGCATTCTACATTGATTCTCTGACAATGAGAGAACCCTCTATAGAAGGAGGATAGAAAATGCTGTTGTAACAACATTAAGTAGTTTTGAATTAAACCATTACAGTTATTTTCAACTCAATAAGCTTCAGTAGCTCTCCCACAAAGGAAATGGGGAATTTTACTTATGGAACATCTGGACAACAAACACCAAAGAAAATATCATTTTACCTGATGTAGGTAATCTCTGCTCATGGAAAGGGTGACTGGGACAAAAATTAGGAAAACTCTTTGCGTTGGATTCAGTCACTCAAAACTTTGTGTCACAAAGAAAATATCAAACATTCACTAGGTAGCTTATCATGGAACCAATTATTAACTCTCCAACACTTCCAAATTCATATTGCATTATTACCTAGGAATTTTATAGTTTCCTGTCACTTTGTGTATTGCAAAAAAAAAGGAAGGGATTCCAATTGTTTAAATTTGATAGTCTTCATAATTTACCAGAATTAAATCTCTTTGTATTTTGAAAATGCTATTAATTTTATTATATAGGTTAATTCAAGTAATAAACAATTGATGATAATGAAAAAACACTTTCCAGATCACTTCATTTTCCTAAATCATGTTGGATATATTGGATGTTACAAAACATAAATAAGCTTGTTTAAATCAGTCCAGCAAAATTGAATTAAAGGCCCAGGTAAGTATTGTAATTTTTTCACCTTTCATAACTACCTGTATTATTTTAGTATTTGTGAAATGATCACGGTACATGCTACTTTAGGACTGCAGGGAGGTTATAATTCAGTTTTAATAGTTTAAAACAAATCTTTACTATGCCAATAATAGTGTTGTCTTTCATTTAGTATGTTACATTTTGGAATGCACAAATAAATTATTTAAATAAATATATACATGTATGGTGAAGGAAAAATGCTACAGAATTCAGTACAATGGCTGCATGCACTGAGGAGTGATAAACTGTGATTGGTCTTATAGCAATAAGTATGGACTGAAAACTAGGAAAAGTTTGACGATGTGTTGAAATTCCCATCACCACATAGAAGGGTCTTCAAACCTGTAAGACACATTAAACATGTTATTTTTGCTAAAAGATTAGTAATAGAACCAAACAGATTTTAAAATAATTGATCTTTTAACAGGCAGAAATAATAAAATGATCTCACTTTAATACTGATAGTAGAGTATAGGATACATTTCCAATGTGCAGTATGAAAATTGAATTGTTCAACTGCCATGAAAAGTAATAGAAGTCAAGTGGCTAAATACTCACATGTTGTTATGTAATTGGACCCTAAATGTTGCTATATCAATGCTGTGTCTTTACAGTTCTAAGACCCATTGCAGAATAATTTTATGCTAGTGGCTAACACTTAGCACATTTCTGCTAGAAAACTGGTATGTGGAGATATAAACATGCAGTATCGTTACATTTGTATATTTATTAAGCAGCACAACAGACATTTTTAAAAGAGAGGACTTACAGAATTTAACAAAATATGATATAACAAATTTAGTTTTTTCAAGAACTCAATCCAAAGGTAGCAGCCATTGCTAAAAATATTACAGTCACTTAGCACATTTCTGCTAGAAAACTGGTATGTGGAGATATAAACATGCAGTATCGTTACATTTGTATATTTATTAAGCAGCACAACAGACATTTTTAAAAGAGAGGACTTACAGAATTTAACAAAATATGATATAACAAATTTAGTTTTTTCAAGAACTCAATCCAAAGGTAGCAGCCATTGCTAAAAATATTACAGTGG